GAGTTACAGCTGTTTAAAGTTAGCCTTTTCGAATTTGCTTGTTCTCGGGGATTTCTGGACAGCGCTGGATTGATTGTCTGTTTTGGTTAAGATAAAGTGTGAATTAGCTTTTGGTGATTAAATAAGAGTTGTAGACAATTGTATAAGCTTTCCAGAAAGTCTAATATCACAACATTTAGATAAGTAGAACTTCAGTTATGAGTAAACCCAGCAGCTGCTGTTTTGTGTGTAGTGAATGATTTGTAAATGTGTTTGATTAAGTAATCAAGGGATATGCACCTACTCGGTAAAATATGATGCATTTGTTAACACCATGCTGTTAAGAATACTTATACGAATGCATTCATCATGTGTCATCATTTTATACTTGTACGCATGTATGCATTCGCAATACCTTATGCCATATTCATGCATCTAGGATCGGAGGAAGAAATAACGTTGCTGGAATTCGACAAAGTAGAGGAAGGGAACCAGCAGGAGAATCCTCAAGTCGTAGCTCCTGAAGGCGAGGAGCAAAATTCTAAAGAGCTTCTGGAGTGTCCTGATCACCGCCCTACTTCCTTTCTGCGAGGCAAGCCCCGGAGCATTCTAAGTCTCCCAGTATTTTACAAATGATTACTTAAGTACTTATCATTGATGCATTAGGTTATAAGAGTTGAATGGAACCACTTGATGCATATAAATTCCTTGTCCAGCTATTACACCTTTAACCGGTATAGGTCCAGGATCGAATATATGCTTAGCCATGCTTAGACCGGTAGAAGTCGGGTGATTTTCTATCACCTGCGAGATATAGGTGGATACCGAAGCACGGTTGGCTATATTTGCTATCGTGGAAAAGAACCATGGGTAATGTAAATGGAGACCGGGCGGGATGTCGATAGAGAAGCAATAAGACATGGAGGTCTTGGGTGTGGATCTATCCCTGTCTGTGTCGATTAAGGACCGTACCGTTGTTGGTGCTTCTGACTAGATTGAACGCATGCCTATCACTTAGCTGGTCGGATAACTCGTTTCCGACCGTGAAGCCGAGTAGCTCAACTCAGGTCGGGACCCATTCAGTTGTGCGCTCCTTGTGGGGGGCGATCAGACTAAGACCAAGGGCAGGCGAGGCCTGAACGTCCTGGCATCTGGTGTCCTAGGTTGTGCGGCGCGTTACGGACCCGCGAAATATGTACCTGAGTTGTACCAAAGGTGACCTAAGGCTGCCTTCGTGTGGTATGCCTGGGTTTGTGTTAGGAATAAATTCCTAGCTGGTTGAAATCGATTCGAATCGCCGTCTCTCCCGGATAGTGAGAAACTTGGCTAGTCCCAACATCGTAGTAACTGTGTTATGGAACATGATGGTTCGGATGAATATGGAATTGCAATACCTGCTATGGTTACTATTGCATGCTTTTAAATGGATATACCATATGTTTGGCACAGGATAGTTGCTAATCTAGAGATGGATAGTTATAATTAACCTGATATTGGAACCATAATTGTCTAACTAAGTTATTCGCTTTTATGCAAAATGTTGTCAAGCTATCCCCACTTATACAGCCTTGCATAATCCTTGGAGTCATTTTATTTCTGGTTTTCGACGGGTAAGTCTAGCTGAGTACCTTCTCATACTCAGGGTTTTATTTCTCATGTTGTAGATGGCACTATGTATCATGGTTATTGCAAGAGTTGCTTCTATCCCGCTGTGGATGAGGAGTAAGCCTTGGGCAGGCTTCTTATTAATCCTTCTACATGCTTTTGTGGACCGTGATCGTATTTTGGCACTGTACTAAACTTTGTTGGAAACTTTACTTTCAAACTTAATTTGCTTCCGCTTTTATCTATCAAACTTGGTTTGTAATAACTTTTATTCGTACTCTGATGATGAAATGTATCTGTGAACTTTATGTAATATGTGGCATGTATGTTGAATCATGTATGATCTTGGTTGTTGTAAATCGTTTATCAAGACCCGTCGTGGTACTCGACGGACTACCGGGTTTATATGGGTTCAAGTATGACAGTGCGACCGCTTGCGGGACGCCATTGTACTTGTACTCTTATAAATTGGTCGGTTCTGCGACACTGATATTATGTTTAGTGTATGTATTTACACATGCTTTCAATCAAACCCAAAAGAAAGCCATCTTAGCATAGTCAAGAGGGTTCTTCGTGGGCTTGGCTACTGCGGTCGGCTTCTTAGGCTTGGGTGCTTGGTGACCTTCTTCTTTTCCGGCGCCTTGCGCTTGGTCCCAGCAGCGGTCTTCTTCGTGGAGGACCCACGAACAAACACCCATGTCCCCCCTCCCTCCCCTCCCCTCCCCGCATAGGCAGCTTGGGTGGCAAGAAAACCCTAGCAATAATGGCATAAATGTTACTCACGAAATATGGCATATGAAATTTCCTCTTAAGATAAAAATCTTCATGTGGTATTTAAAAAGGGAAGTAATTCTCACTAAAGACAATCTGGCCCAGAGGAACTAGAATGGTAGTAAGGTGAGTTACTTTTGCGATAGAATTGAAACAATCCAGCATTTGTTCTTTGAATGACATTATGCTTGTTTCCTTTAGCGTGCGGTTCATGCATGTTGTGTTTGGAGTCAAGCCGCCTCAACATTCTTACCATCTGCTTGGTAGTTGGTCCAAGTTGGGGAACAAAAGATATAATGTAACCTTATTGACTGGGGTTTCGATTCTAGGTTCTATTGTAGCTCATGGATGATCGCAAATATCGGGTGATTGAGGTGTGTCGAGTCTTAGAATCCTGTGCCATGGAGTTCTGGGCATTCAATGGGTGTGGTCTTTCATTTTCCGTTACAATAATAATGTGGAGCTGTGGTAAGCGTTTGATTTAAAGAGGGTGTATTTGTTTAACTTTGGACTGATGCTTCTGTTTGAAGAGGACTGAAGCCAGAGTTTTCCATTGTCTAAAAAGAAAACTAGATAATAATATGACAAATGTAAAGAAGACACTAGTTCAATATCTAGAAGATGGACAACTACTTTCAGGTTTACTATATCATGTTGCTAGATGGTGACTATACTGTAATGGCATATTCTTGTTTCAAGAATTGTGAACATTAACTTACATGAAGGAAGGGACAACATAATTTGGTCTTTACATAAAAATGGTTCCTTTATAGTTAGACCGAAGTATAATTTTCTTGTCAATACCGGAGTCAGGCTTACGCAACAGATTTGGCAGATGAAGATACCACTCAAAATGAAAATTTTCATAAAATGGTGTTATTCTTACCAAGGACAACAGTTTTGGCAGATGAAGATACCACTTAAAATAATTGATATGTCCAATCAATGGTCTAAACAAGGAGGTAGAAAATATCAACACTTCTTATTGATAGGGGCAGCAGCATTTTGTTGGGTGCTTTGGTTGACAAGAAATGAGCTTGTTTTTGACAAGCACAAACCAAAAATATTTTTGCAGGTCTTATTCATGGGACATACTGGCTTCAGTTCTGGACGCAGTTGCAGTGATGTGATGACGGCAAATTAGAGCTATTCATTCAAGCTTGATACACTTTGGAATTGGCAGCAATGCGGTTCTTTAGAATTGGATTTTAATATGGAGTCCTTTGGTAAACTTTGCTTGTGTTTAGGTGGTGTGCCTCAGTGTGTAATAATTTGTCTGATTTCTCTTCTTGAAAGGGGATGAAGCTGGAACTTTTTTCATTATCTAAAGAAAAGATGGTGCATCACAACGAAAAGATGCGCAATACAGTGCAAAAGTGATAATTTGCAAAAGTTCAGTTAAGACTTCAATATACAATTTCCTTGGGATATAGGTGGCGTTCATGTCTGTGGCTTGAGGGCAAGCTGAATTTCAAGTGGTGAGGAATAATGTCAAGGACTGGGATGCCAAAGAGGCCCATATATCACCAGACCGGGCTGCCAAGTGGGCTTGGGTTAGAGAAAGGTGCTGCTACAACAGGGGAGGGCATCGAATAGTACCATAACACCATAACGTCTTCTTCTACCTCCCATCCAAGAACTCCTTTCTGCTCTTTCTTGCTACCTCTGATTCCCTATTTCGCTTACCTTGGTCTTCCCAATTCTTCTACAGATTGTACTCAAAACTATCAATTGTTCATATTGTTGAGATTTGACGGTGTAGGATAGTAACATATATCCCAGTGCTCGTGTGACCTTTAATTTTATTACCTTGAGGTTCTATCATATATCTAATATTTTATATTACCATGCACGGTCCACAAATATAAGGGATTCTAAGTTCATAGCCAGGATCCATTATATCTGTAGATGGATGGAGTAGTAAATCAACAATTACATCTCTCGACACTTAAAACAAGTATATATATATATAATATAAGGGAACTCTAACCTAACATTATCTTTTCTGCATAGAAAGCTATCATATAACTTGCTCTACGCAATACCAAGGAAAATGATCGTTTCCTAAACAACATTAGCACTAATCGTCTAGTTGACCCTTGTTCGACCACCACTGAACCACGGCACTAAGCTATAGGACAAGATGAGATTCCTCTTAGCCAACCAATGTCCAATTAATGCGTACAAATCTCTCGCTTAAGTTACAGTTTAATTTGCACAAAGAAGAATGCAGTGTTAGCTAGTTAGTGATATCTGACATCACCTGTGCACACCAAGCCATGGTGAGTAGTTGGTGACGCTAAAAAGCCAAAGAAAGTATTTGATAATTTCAAAAGATAAGCATTGTTTTGGAAGGAGCAACCTTCTAATCAGAACCCTGGAGAAGGATATTATTGTACATTTTTTTCAGAATAGATGTGGATTATAGAAGAGAGAATTCATTTCTTTGTACATTTTTGAAAGATATAAACATACGATTTTGTATATATGGATAATAATAAGATGATAAGAGTGTGAATTTAAAGGATACGAACAAACGTAAAACGATTCACACAGGAACATCAAGGACACTGTGATGGCTGATGAATGAAGAATAATGCACACGTGCGAATGCATGGTATTCATGATGTGTATATGAGAAACTACTACCACTCCTCAGGGATGCTCTCTAGCACCGGCCGCCACGCCGTCGACGCTGACGCGGAGGTATCAGCACGGGCGATGAGTGCCTCCATCCTCTTGAGCTCGCTGATGGCTTGTGCAGCGGAGGCTTTGGAGCTGGTCGTCTGCTGCGACCTTTTGAACTCGGCCACCACCTGCTTGGCGGTCCTGTCGCCATGCGTGGTGAGGGACATGAGCCGCGCGGCCTCCGCCCTGGTCAGTATGACCTTGACTCTGACGACACGCCGGTTGTGGCCGTTCCTGCTTGGACCTCTTCTGCTTCTGGTTCTTGGGGTGGCTTGGTCGTCTGGTGCCGACGTCTCCCTTCTGGCAGCTGCTTTGGCCACCCTGTTGCTGCAATGGGGCCGCTTCGTGGTGCGGTGGAGGGTTCCTGAGAGGAATTTCATGGAGCCAGACCATTGTTTGGTGTTTATGCGGGGCATGATACTGCTGCTGGCTTGGACCAAGCATGGGAGCATGTTGCCCATTTGTGCATGTACTATGTGTGTCTCTGTGTGTGTGTGTGTGTGAGAGAGAGAGAGGGTCAGAGAGACAGAGAGTGAATTATGTCTGTGCGTGCGCCTGTCTTCGAGAGAAATATAATGCAGCAAATCAAGAGTACAAAGGGATGCACCCTGCCAAATAAGTACAAAAGGGTTGCTGGTATTTCGGAGTTTGATGGGATTGGAGATGCTCAAAAGCGCCTCTCCTCTTTCTACGACCAAAGGATAAGCCATTGTAGAGTGATTTTTTTTAGATAAAGGAAAAATTGTAGAGTGATATGAGAAGGAATTTTAGGCATTCAACCTCTAGAGTAATGATCATTTGTTCTTTGTCGACGCAAATTTTTGAAATTTTTCCTCTGGGTAGGTCGAACTATTGGAAGTAAATGGAAAAGGAACATCGAGTGGAATAAAAGAAACTAGCAGACTGATCAGTAAATACATACAAATAGGTGCAAATTTGGACATCGCCAAAGGCCACTCCATTCTCTCGCTCTCCTTGTGACGCTCCGTCTTGTGGAGCAGCATAAAAAAAGACGCTCAGATGTCAATTTGAACCACGGAAGGATTTCTATCTATCAGAATCTTAGATTTTGTTATTGATAGTAGCCATAGAAAGCTTAGTAGGAATGATTTATTTGTTAAACAATAGCCAAGAATATACAACTAAGTATAGCACACAACCAAAGGTATCACTACTACAACTAAAAAGATAGAGAGTAACAACATTACTAAGGCAATAAAATAAAGTAGAGAAGATATATAAATAGAGGCTCAAAGTACTTATGAAGCAAAGGATTAAAGAGCTTCACCTTGAAGACTAGGATGGCTAAGCTCACACTCACTCTAACTCTCAACTATACTACTACTACTAAGATAAATGAAGAGAGGACTCTTGTGTAATTGCTTGCTTGCTTGGTTACAAGTGAGGAGTAAGTCTCTATTTATAGGGGGAAGTGGAGGTGAAAGTGGGCCCTTGAATCATGTGACACCACCTCTCCACCATGGGTCAAAACGCATCATCAAGCATAGTGGATATTGACGGAAATTGTGTTTCTTTGCATGTGTCCAAAGTTGAGGCGATGGATCATCCCGAGAGGTTCGAGCGACCATGCCTTGGGTTGGCCAACTGCTCATGACAGGTGGGGTAGTCCATCTTCTGCAGGGTGGCCCCTAGTGAAATCCATGTTTGTACAAAGTTTGGTCATGTTTGGAGAACCCACATGGAAATGGTGTGTCCATGGATCCATGTGATCATCCATTTGGACCATAGATCTTGAACCAACTTTAGACCAACGGTGATGACCTTCTAGAGTTGTGTTTCTTCTGATTGGCAAGGATTGAGGTCCAGGGGAGTAACCCTAGGTCGACTGACCCCACATAGGGTTGGGCGACCCCCTTGTGGGCCCATTTCCTTCACCTTTTGCTCAATATAACCTATGAAGGTTAGTTCCCCAAATAATATGGTATGGACTTCATTTGAAAGGAAAATGACATGATCATGCTATGCTCATCACTCTTTTGTAGAGATATTGATGGTCAAAAATGGGGTTTAGTGACTGTCAACAATGGGCACTTGGCCGATACCACTATAGATTGATATATCGCTATCGCCACTTTCACTGCTGTAGCAATAGAAGCAACGGTGTGATACTTCCACCGTCAGTTGGAACGATAGCGAGGCCTCATAGTAATGAAACCGACAGTTCAGACTTCTACCACCGACGATTTAACGATAGATGTGGCAGTTGTATTGCGATTGCATTTGCTCCGTCGCATGAAAAGCCGGGCCGACTGGGATACGCATTTTGCCCGCCTGCCGTAAACTAGCATTTGATCAACCGGTGGTAAATTCAGCGTGAGTGTTGAATTGCCTCAACTTCCAAGGCCGTCAAATCACCATTACTTCTATTGCCTGAAGACTAAGAGCCGCATACCCACTACTCTACATATCCTTCAAGCCTGGTGCCCTTTAAAACAACCTCTCTTCTTCATCCATCATCCCTTTCTTTTCCAATCTACAAAGAAAATGTCGAACAACCCCATCAAGTTTCCAAGCAGCCGATCGTCCTATGAGGATGAATTGCCTTCCCACAACTCCTCCGAGTAGAATGTCTCCTCCGACGACTGGATGTCATCTGATTATAGTCCTCTATGGAGCTCCGAGAAGGAGGACCCAGAGGAGGAGGACGAGGAGTACGAGGATGAGGAAGATGCCGACACCGAAGCTAATGCCGACGCCGACGACGATGACAATGATGACTCCAACTCCGATGACTACAACTCCAACTTCGACTCGCCTCCTCCCAAGTGAATGAGGCAAGCTGCAAGAGGATCATATTTAGATTAAGTAGTTTATAGTTAGTATAAGTAGTTTTAATAGTTTAGGTTAGTTATTATGCTTCCAGATGAGTACACACTACAAGAAATATGGTGATACATGACGAACTCAAGGTGACGTTATATGAAATTGTCATAGTCCAACCCGAAGCCCACTATAAGCCCGCTATGGGCTGAGCCTTAGTTTGTCCTTCCAGCACGGTGCATAACTAGCAGCCGCCTCCCTCTCTACTTTTCCATGATACTCCTCACCTCTCGCTTGGTTAGGAGCATCACCGCCCCAGCCCTACCCTCTCCGGCCACCGCCCTCTCTCGGTCTTCCCATGCCTTCGTCGACATGATCCACGATGGGGTGGCTGCCCTTCTTCCCCCTTGCTGGATCCACGCCATAGGGGCCAGATCGACGACATCGTGGTGGCGGCGGCATCGAGTGGGCACGCCACACGGGTAGGTTCACGCGCGGCACTCGTTGGATCAGGTGCTCTGACTCTAGGCAACTGGTCCTCCCTCAATCCCTCTTCTCTAACCCCTAAGCCCCGGTGCCTAGCCTCAGGTCTAGCAGCAACGATGATGGGGGAGGCCTATGCTGGATCTGAATAAGGTTCGTTGTTTCCCCTCTCCCTTCAATTGGATTGGTGCATGATTTCTGGTATATTAAGTTTGGTGTCGCTATTCTATGTGATCTGTCATGTTTGGTTTCTCCAATGATGCAGATTTCCCTCAAATTACAGAGTATAAGATTCTCAAACTGCTAGAGCATGGTGATGTCGCTTCCCCTCATCTAAAGTAGAATACTGAATCAGGAGGTAATAAAAGGCCCATAACCTAATTTGATTCCATTATGTGCTTGACTCTCTGATTTGCCCTTTATTTAATTTAATTTAATTTTATTTCAGATTTGACACATCCAAAATTTTGTTTTGTAAATGGTGATGTCGCTTCCCCTCATCTAAAGTAGAATCCTGAATCGGGAGGTAATTAAAGGCCCATAACCTATTTTGATTCCATTCTATGCTTGACTCTCTGATTTGCCATTTATTTAATTTAATTCTATTTCAGATTTGACACATCCAAATTTTTGGTTTGTAATTACTACAATGTCTATGAATAGGCCACATGTATTTCAGTACTGTAATTCAGCAGTAGTTTATGTTAATATTTGTAAAAGAGGGCAGTGAAGGATGTTGCATTTGACCTTGTGCTGTAGCTGATGTGTGTAATTACTAAGTTGAACATAAAGCAAAGGTTACAGAAGAAGAGGGGTTAACCTTGTTCAATGCAAACTGGCAGCGTGAGGATACCCCTTCAACTAGTATTTTTTATGTTGGCCATCTGTCTATCTAGTTTTGTTTAGCACTAGGCTGAGTTATATTCAGTTGTATGTCTGAATATGTCTGAAATATTTGTTATCGCTGAACTTAAAACTGGAATATGTCCATGGCATATGGAACTGTATTGGTCATTCTTTTCTCTTGTATTATATAATTCCAACTCACTAGCTTTTTATTATGCAGGTATTGCCAAGGATAGCTTGTTCAAGCTTGAACCTAAAGGTGTTTCAAACTTCAGTTTGTGGTATCTTGCTTGTACAGACTGATCTAAATAGAAGGTACACCATTAGATGTTTAATTTTCATCATTGGCATGCCTTGCTGAAATTGCTAATTCCCAGTTGCTTTAATGTTAGCATTGCCTTCTAACTTGTACGTTTGTGGTATCTTGCTTGTACAGTGTTTCAATTTGTGGTATCTTGCTTGTACGGTTGAACATAGAGTTGTTCCTTCTCTATCCTTATTGTACATGACTTGATGCCTTGTTCCTTGCCTATAGTTTACTTTGGCTACATTTGAGTTAATACTGCACATGTGTCATTTTCAGGGAGACAAGTACAAAGACTAGGAACCTGATGCAATGGATTTTTTGAAGGAATGCCACTATACAGTAAAAGAAAATTTCAAGCTTGTACACTGGCTGTCCAGAATGCCATTGTAATAGATGTAAAGGTTGACAATGACCTATTTTTGTGTTTCCTTAAGTTTTAGATGATCAGAACATGTTGTGTTAATATACTGGAAATTGAGTTAACCAAATGATTGGGCTTTATGTGATTTTCATTATATAATCTATGAAGGTCAATTTTGGTGAACACATGGTGCTTACATGGCAACTCAAATCAGTGACAGAGAAACATCCTACATGGCATCCTATGTGGCAGATGTCTACGACAGTCAATTTTGTCACACACTGTCAGGCCTAGCCTGGGCTGAATGGGCTTCTAGGGATTCCATGACGAACACAAATGTCAATCTGTGATGGCTTATCTCGGTCCAACAAATGTATGATGCGGGATACATGACCTTTTTCTCAATCATCATGGTAAGTTAACTGTGACGCGTTTATTTTTGAATGTCCATGACGAAAGTAGACCGTCATGTACCAGCAGAATTCTTGTAGTGACAATCATATACTCGTCCAAATTGTATCTATATGTTAGATATATAAAATGAATCAATGAAAAAAATTCTATTCATGCAAATTTGATCTCTTCAATGCCAACTTTTTTATATGAAATGCAAAGCAAGTTCTTTCCAATACTACTTCCAAAATGCCAGTGCACGGATTTCATCTCTCGACGAATATTTTTTT